TGGAAAACATGTCAGTCAGGTATATTACTTGCAATCTGTCGACTTTTCAGGTGGGTGCAGATAACTCGTTTCAGTGAAGGACATGTGGTGCAACCTTAGGCTTGTGACTTCAAAACATGCCTCTGTTCACCCACCAGTGGAACAGTACTCATAGGATAAGATTGTCATGTGGCTGTTGCCTCACAGGCTGCTTGGTGTAGTGAGTGAGGTTTTAGCAATATTCCAGCAATATCACGACCGGGGACACCAGAAATGGGTTTCACACATTGTACCCATGTGGGAATCAAACCCGGGTTCTTGGCGTGACGAGGGAACGCTTAACCACCAGTCTACCCCACAGCCCCACTGCTTGGTGTAAACTCCCCAGGAAGCTGAGAATGAAAACTCGGATGTAGACAGATAGAATGACCAGGGTAATAATGATGGCGCTTTGAGCCTGCATCCTGTGCATGGGGCCTAACGTGTTGTAACTCCACATGTTGCTGTTGCTGTTGCTGTTAAGTGATATCGGATCCCTATGGCTCGTGTCAGTGCTCTGCTGCCAAGACTGCCAAATGCATGTCAGGTTTTTAACAAAGGAAAAAAAGAAAGTTCTAAAAAAATAGCATGGCTTACCCATTTAATCAGCATGAGCACAATCCCTCATCCCCTGGTAATGTGAGGTTGGCAAAGTAGTCCTTTTTTAAATCTGCCAAATTAGGAACTATGATGCTCTGGTTGCTCATATTTCCTTTAACCTCAGATCCAAACAATTCTTTGAATTTCATTACGTCAAGGGCACACTTTTGTCACATGCCATTATATACTTATTATATACATGCCATTATATACTCATATTGTCTCCCAGTCCCCTGTCTAAATTTTAAGGGGTGGTGAGGTAGCCTAGTGGCTAATGCGTTCGCTCGTCACGCTTGAAGGCCTGGGTTCAATTCCCCACATGGGTACAATGTATGAAGCCCATTTCTGATGTCCCCCACCATGATATTGCTGGAATATTGATAAAAGCGGCATAAAACCAAACTCACTCCCTCGCAAAATTTCAGTGTGTATTTAAAAAAAAAAAAATTGTTCTCATTGCTGCATTTATGGTTTAACTGTTTCTCATACCAGACATGCTTATAAATAAGTCTATGTATGTGAGGTTACACTTCTGTTTACACTAAATATTGTTAAGAAAATAGATCAGCACATACGTTATATTTATATTGAATGATTTTTAACAAGTATGGAAGTGAAACCTCATCACTGTTGTTGTGTCTGGCGACATGTTGTCAGTTGGTACAATATTCATGTATTCATCTGGCACCTGTGACCATCTCTGATGCCACTTGTTCCAGACAGCTGTCAGTTCCATGGCAGATGGTTGTATACAACACATGGTCCGGCATTGGATGTGTGTCATACATCATCATGTTGGATAGTTCAACTGACAACAGGTGTGTGTTCCTTGTGGAGGTTCCGGGTTGGAACAGGTCTCCAGCAACCGATGCTGCTCGATGCTGCTCGTATGTAATGACCAGATGGTATCTGGGTTTATGATCACTTGGTTGTTTGGTCGTTTGTGATCACTGAATTGTCTAGTCATTAATGATCACTGAATTGTCTGGTTATTAATGATCACTGGATTGTTTAGTCATCAATGATCACTGGGTTGTTTGGTGATTAATGATCACTGGATTGTCTGGTCAGTAATGATCACTGGACTGTCTGGTCAGTAATGATCAATGGATTGTCTGGTCATTAATGATCACTGGATTGTCTAGTCATCAGTGATCACTGGATTGTCTAGTCATCAATGATCACTGGATTGTCTAGTCATCAATGGTCACTGGATTGTCTGGTCATCAATGATCACTGGATTGTCTAGTCATCAATGATCACTGGATTGTCTGGTCAGTAATGATCACTGGATTGTCTAGTCATCAATGATCACTGGGTTGTCTAGTCATCAATGATCACTGGATTGTCTGGTCATCAATGATCACTGGATTGTCTGGTCATTAATGATCACTGGATTGTCTAGTCATCAGTGATCACTGGATTGTCTGGTCATCAATGATCACTGGATTGTCTAGTCATCAATGATCACTGGATTGTCTGGTCATAAATGATCACTGGATTGTCTGGTCATCAGTGATCACTGGATTGTCTGGTCATCAGTGATCACTGGATTGTCTGGTCATTAATGATCACTGGATTATCTAGTCATCAGTGATCACTGGATTGTCTGGTCATCAATGATCACTGGATTGTCTAGTCATCAATGATCACTGGATTGTCTGGTCATAAATGATCACTGGATTGTCTAGTCATCAGTGATCACTGGATTGTCTGGTCATCAATGATCACTGGATTGTCTGGTCATCAGTGATCACTGGATTGTCTGGTCATTAATGATTACTGGATTGTCTAGTCATCAATGATCACTGGGTTGTCTGCTCATTAATGATCACTGGATTGTCTGGTCATCAATTATCACTGGATTGTCTGGTCATAAATGATCTCTGGATTGTCTGGTCATTAATGATCACTGGATTGTCTGTTCAGTAATGATCACTGGGTTGTCTGGTCAGTAATTATCACTGGATTGTCTGGTCATTAATGATCTCTCGGTTGTCTGGTCATTAATGATCACTGGATTGTCTGGTCATTAATGATCACTGGGTTGTCTGGTCATTAATGATCACTGGATTGTGTGGTCATCAATGATCACTGGATTGTCTAATCAGTAATGACCACTGGATTGTCTGATACAGACTCTCATACAGCAAACTGACAAATATAACAAACTCATTTATGTATATTTCAGTCAAATGTGTATAACTGTCTATAGTTGTAACAAACTAAACCTGGTGTTCCCTGTGAGTTCATTACAACCATACTTTACTGTGTCTACAAGTGGTCCTAAGTGGTCATAAGACTTTACCCATGGAGATCAGGGTTATAATTGGACTTCAGTAACCCATGCTTGTCGTAAGAGGCGACTGACTGGTTCGGGTGGTCAGACTCACTGATTTGGTTGACACATGTCATTGTATCCCAGTTGCGTAGCTCAATGCTAATGCTGGTGATCACTGGATTGTCTGGTCCAGACTTGATTATTTACAGACCGCCACCATATTGTTGGAATACTGCCAAGTGTTGCATTAAACAACCAACCAACCTCATAAGACTTTACTGAGATGAGTGTATTAGACGATGAACTGAAAATAATAAAGCAAGGATATTTCATGACATCCTTTATTGCACAGTCAGTATAAAAAAATTAATTTGATTTCATACATTTCGGTATTTTGATTTATATATTTCATTAAAACCATAACAAGGGGGCAGCTTGCCAAGTGTGCTACCACATAACGCTGCAGCTTTCCATGCACAATCAAACATCACAAAGTCGCAAAATGAACACATGATAGTTAAAAAGCACATCAACATTACTGAAAATGTACACATTGATTGTAAATTTCATCATTTGTCGTTTTTAATTAACCAACATTCATTCCTCATTGCCAACAGACATATTGAATGCTTACATGTGACATTTTTGAAATTCCAGTTTCTAAAATTACTCATTGATATCTTTTGTTTACTTGAATTAAGTATTTTTAGGGTTTGCATTTTTGAGACAAGGGGGAAGAGAAAATATCCAACAAAAAGTAGGATAATGTGTTTCAGTTGTTTGTTTTGCTTGTGTGGAACGTCTTACTACTCCTGAAACAAATATTAACTCATGATAAAGTCACTATTGTACAATCGACTCTGCTTTTAGCAGGCATTTCTTATGGATGTGGGAAGGTTTTTTGTCACTTCTTTTGATACAATATGTGGATTCACATAATTTCTCTGGATGCTAATATTTATTCCAATGTTTTGCATGATCTGGGAATTGTGAAGATATTGGTTTGTAATATAAGAACAGTTACTGTACAAATAAGGGTACAAAACTTAACTTGGCAGTGTTGAAAATAGGGATAAATATAGTTATAATCTATGGCACTGATATACGTTCAAGATAACAACTCTCACATAAAATGTACCGACCATCACACTAATGAAGCTCAAGAGTACATACATGTATAATCACGTCCATGTCGCCATCACAAGTATGCATCAATTTGATGTTTACAATTATGCTGCGGGACAGTTTTTGTATCCATGGTAGCAGTGACATCTTTATACACGACTTCTTTGTCAGATTGATGGTTTCATGAATTCAAATCATAAAGCTTTATATTTATTAGTTGGTTTACAAAACTGCCTGATACAAGAATACTTGAAATTAGATTAGACATCAATGATTGAAAATTATTTTGCAACTCTGCTTTACAATTAGGTGAAATGCAAAAAATATAGATTTTGTCATAACTGTTTAAAAGAAATGGTAATTGATACCTATATAACTCTTTATTTTAGCAAAAAGAATTTATCTTTTGCTATTTTAGGCCAGACCAATTGTATTTCTTGTTTTACGGATTTTTGTCCTCAGAAAACCTAAAGGCAGGAGGGAAAAAAATAAAAATCACCAGTCAAAGTAATATTCCTTTTAAATACTAAAAGTATTTTATTTTTGGCAATTTATGAAGTGTATATGGGGCAAAAAACAATCTAAACATTTTTGTTTTGTACGTTTACAATTTTTTAGCGGGGAAAATTAATTTATATTTTTTTCTTATTCTTGAAAAAATATGACCGTGGATCTGTGAAACAAGAAATAAAATTGGTCTGGCCTTACCGTGTTTAAACTTGTTTGTTTTTCATTCACTAATAATAAAACTAAAGAAAGTTGAAATTACACTTATATTTAACCAACAATATAGAAAAATCCAAATCAATTTTCATGTCAAAATCTTTTGTAAACCAACTAAATAAAATAAAATCCCTCATACAAAATCACTGATTATGCACATCATGGTTTGCGTAAATAGCATTTGAATAATTTCTGTTAATTTACATTCATCAGGTATATACAAAATCAGTATGAAATCAAACTCAAACAATGCTTAATTCCATGATCCTAAAATTGATCTCAATTTATTTATCAACATATTGATGATAATTTCTGGAAGCTGTCAAGCAGTATCTTTTGATTATATTCTGATATGTATGCTAATCAACAATGATAATGAACAACAAACTTGCACCGTGAAATAATATAAACAACAATATAATCCATTTGGTAACAAATCAGATATATACAGTTATATGCTGCAAGTTTACTATGGAACTTTGCAAGACGATCTTTATGAAAATACAACAAAATGAACGAGACCAAAATTGCAGTGTCTTGGTAATGATTTGTCACTGTAAAGTCGGAAATTAAATCAGAGCTTGTTGAAATAAAACCACTTGTTCCAAAAGCAACTCTAATGTGAATATATTATTAATTAAGTAAAGAATGTCCAAAGATACAGATGACACTAGAGAATTTTAGTATCGACACAACAAAATAATCAAGTTATAAATACCATAAACATTTTATCATCAGGTATGTGTTTACCTAGTAAACCTGGAAATAAATTTTCATCCCACTCATTATCAATCTTACATCATCATCATTACATGTAAACATTTTTGTGGCAGTGGATATAAATTTAGTATCAATATAAACAAATTTGTATGGCTACAGAATCAACATACACAATCTACTGATACATTGTTATAACAACGTAGGGCTTACTATCAATGTAAATCAGAGAGATCAATAATCATAAACTAAATATCGATCTCCAAGATATTTTTATGGATTAAACTTCTTTTTAATTTCTCTCACGACGTTTCGAGACCATTCCAGGTCCCTTCATCAGTTGAACCTGGAATGGTCTCAAACGTCGTGGAGAGAAATTAAAAAGAAGTTTAATCCATAAAAATATCTTGGACATCAATGTACAACTTCTAAATGCCACTGAAAGACATAAATATCGATCGATTATCGATAATATCGGAGAAGTGATTTTGAGCAAAACTGCCCAAAATTGCCTGAAAGGAATGAAAATATTTCATACTGCTTGTGAGTTGTGACATGTTTTTGCATGGGGTGCTAACAAAACAACATCCTGAACATAATTTAGATGCACCCATGATTAAAAAACTAACTTTGTGTATTGTGTGAGTAAATTAAAACTTTATTCTATCACAAAAGTTTATTTATGATATTATCGATGGCACTGTTTTCATATTGATTATCTTTATAGTTTTTCCTTTCAATGATATTTCTGATGAACAATATGGAGAGTTCTATGGATATACAACTTCTTTATTATCAATATGAGTGACATTTCGGTGTAGCTACTAACACCGTTATCAAACAAGTGATTTGACTTGTTTGATAACAGTGTTAGTAGCTACACCGAAATTCATCCTGTTGTTCATCACGCCAACTGCTAAATGCGACTCAAAGAAGATATTTCTGATTATCGGTCTTTTTAGCCAGCCCTGTCACAATGTACTGTTAAACATTCCAGCTGTAGTGTTACACTGTGTTACACTGTGTTCAGTGGAGCAGAGGAAGCTTGAGAACAGCATCTGACAGGAACAACTTTCTCGGTGATGTAAAAGGGCTCCATTCCACAACACAGTTTGAAAGTTATGTCACTGTAATTAGTCCCTGCTTAGCTGCCTAGCAACTGGAACTAATGTTTTGTGGAAGACTGCTCCGACTTGAGTTATTGTGTGTTTGTATGCATTTCAGGAATTATGTTTACAGCACATACATTTGTCAGCAATCGCGTGACTTTTGACTTGATAATAATTACTACTAAGCTTAAACTAGCTTTTTCTCAAGGCTGCCACGCTCTAAGAAACAAGATCTCATTTAAGAATGCATACATCCATTTCTTTTTGTAGCATACTAATGAAAACTGTAACTAAATCATTGGGTAACATGTTAGAATGAAAGCCACACATTTAATTGAATAAATTTTGATGTAAAATACTCAAGTTTCTTCCTGAATTATTTGCTGACATGATTTTATTTTAAACCCACTCTTCCTTTTTGAGAAGTTGTACCCTAGCTTTTACAAACTGTTATAAATGCATCCCTCGATCTAACTGTTCTGCATTCCCCCTTTTTCAAGATGCTGTGCAGCCCCTTTTAAAAAATAACCATCTATATGCTAACATTACTGAATTTTATACCCACCCTTTTGAAGAAGTTTTACATCCCCTTTTACAAACTGCAATGCATCCCTCAATCTAACTGTTCTGCATAAATCCCCCTTTTCCAAAATGCTGCACATCCCCCTTGTAGGAACTATAAATCTATACCTGCGACAGCTATGAATCTTGCTTTATGTTTTGTATTCCATTCCACTGATAGATTATTCTGCCCTGAAACATGAAATATATTATCATTGGGATGAATAGCCTTATGCAGATAAACCTTTATCATCTCAGTGATCTAAATCAAAATAGAATCGTGAAAGTGACAACATATTGTATTGTATTCCTGTAGCCAAATAGAAACCTGACACGATATTGCTATATAGCCCCTGGCTGTAATAAGCTGTAGTAAAATAATGCTTCATTTCATCAGTCTGCTATAGTATCACTACACCGACAGAGGCAGTACATATTCAGCAACATTGTTATCCTATGTGAGTGTACTGGGTGCACTCTGTCAGTTATACACAGTTTAATAAAACCTATTATTTCCTTCATAAAGCGGATCAAGCTTCAATACAACCTGCTATTATTTGGTCTTGAAAGTGGATTTAGCTTGTTTGAAATGACGGGCATGATACACAGATTACATAGGGCACAGCAACTATAGATGACTCGCTTTTCATATCGTCATACTCCAACAAGCAACTGATGCTTTACAACTGTGTACAAGCCTTGCTACAAATATATATATCTTTATTGCATCGGTAGCCATATAGTGATGGTTTTGAGATCATGCGGAAATAATGAGCCAGATGCTGAAATGATTCAGGAAATATGTACCTCCATGTTAATGTCAAAATTTCATGATTTACTTAGAATGTTTCCTATAACAAAAACAAGATCAAACTTGTAGCTGAAGTTTGTTGTACAAAACATGACAAGAAGAGGATTATAAATGTTGATGTAGCCCATTGACAAATATTTCCTTCAGAAGAGATATTAGCAAGAATAGATATATGATAATATATACTTGTAGAATTTTCATTCACAAACACATGTGTTACATCTGAATTATATGAAAATCTCACTTTGTCATGGCAGATAGTGATAAATCTCTTCATTTACATTGCTAATCTTTTGTATTAAAAAGAATGTACTACAAAACAACAGTAATATCTTGACTGAAAATGTATATATTTCATTTAGCTCTTTTTCTAAATACATGTAATGGAATCTTTCACAAAACTTTATTTGGGTATGGTTGATGGAACTTTTGAGAGTAAAAGAACAAATTGCATCAATTTAACATTTTACAATTTTGAAATGCACACATGACAGTACATTACACATGCTGAGATTATCTATTACCTATTTTGTACCGTACAATGTGGCGCCTTCAGTGGCTTACATTGCAGTAGCTTGATATGATAATAATACTTCAATATTGTGCATTATTGTTGGAACAACAAACTTGCTATATGTCAGTTTTCAAAGACTTGTGACTTCGTATCAGTGACGTGAACTTTGATATTGCTTCCGTCTCAGTGGGCTTCATTCAACAAATACACAGAACTCTACCACTGTCAAAGTCAGAGACAATTTCGTATGAATGTATGCATATATATTGGCTCTGTGGAAAGCCTGGTACAATGGACTTGGTGTTCATTTTTTCAATTAATGCATTCTTGATAGATCCTTAATTAACCAGTGTATCCTATCTCACCTCTGTTATGATATATATTACACCGTGGACTCACTCACCACTAAAGTTTCATTTTGAATCAAGGTCGATTGGCACAATGCTAAAAGTAGACATCCAATCAAATTGCACTATTCTTTTATGATTGACAGTGGCGATATCACTTGTACTTGATTCACCTCTAATACAGATGGAGAGTTTTTTTTCTGGATAGACTTAGCTCCCTTGTCTTAATACTCTGAATTGAACTTTTGCAGAAGTCTCCTTTTTTTATTAAATGCATCAAAGACTTGCTCGAATGAGGCTATGGCGTTGAACGCCAAAATCTCTTTTAGAAGAGGTGTTTTGATGGTGTTGCCTTCAAGTTCACAAGTGACCAAAATTCTGTGCTGAAGTTTCTCTCAGACACAATGAAGCTGTGATCATGAATGAATCCAGAGCATATTAATCGTAATGGAATGGAGGTCTGACACACTGGATAATTGAGGTCTTGAATATTTACATGTTGATATTTCTGACAGTTTGACAAATAATTAACCCATGGAATTGTATGTGACTGCTGAAGCACATGAAGACAGTACAAAATGCAAATATACACCCTTACGCCACATACAGAATTTAATTTGAAATAGTAGTAGTGCTCAAAAATTTGATTATTGAATTTGTATCTCTTTTCTCAACCAGATCATTCATTATTTGTATAAAACATGATGGCAGTTTTATCACACAACAGACATGTTCATGCGACTGAAGCGTTTTCATTTTGATGATCTGAATTGGCTTTTTAATAGATTCCACATTTGCCATGAATTTGAACAAAACTGTTTTCCACCAAGTGCTTGATCTAGTTTTCATCTTACATTAAAGAAACCTATGATAATGAATACTGAACAAGGTCACACTGAAACATATTTCACACTCATAAATACTACTCAACACAACTTAAAGAAAAGACTATTCTTTCATGTTATTATAGTTTGTATAAGTCCGTCTCCTATTCTCGCGGGTTTCCTATTCTCACGGTAAACACGTTTTCTGCCGAAATCGCCGATGCGCGACACTTAGCGGTTGTTTACATCACCGACTGGTAACTAGGAAGTGGACCAAGTCTGTAAGTGATCAAAATCTTGCAGTGTCACGAATATTGGGGAGTTTAACTTGGACATATTACTTTTTCCCGCCCTTTCCAGCAGGATTGCTCTTACATACACTCAATAACGTTAATTCCTGGTAATACCGCGAGAATGGGAGAAGCCTCGTTTCGTCAATGGCGGATTGTATGGTTTATCACCGTGCTCACAAGTGGTAATTCACCTGATGGATCTAGCAGCTGATAGATGTAGATGTTAGAGGAGAAGACCCTTCATTTAAAAACAACAAGCATTCATACGATAAGAATTGTTTGTGTTATTTTTTCAGCCGATATCCGTTAGTACCGCGAGAATAGGAAACGCCTTCCTATATGATAGCATGACATATTAATTACAGTGATATAAAAGAATTGGTTCTTTAACCTTTTTTGTGGTAAATATACATTCTAAATTCAAGTATCACTTTTTTGTATTTGAGCTTACAGTTTGTATTCCTTAGCAGTGATCAAAGTGACAAAAAAAAATATGTGTGTGTGTCCCACAGCAAGTTCTTATTTTATATTTCATTTACCAGTTAAGCATGTAACATTAGATTCACAATTGAGACACAGAACAGCAAGAGACAGATTTGCAAGTGAAATTGAGAAAAACTTTGTTGACACTCATATGACTATCTGAACCAACACTGTTGTCTGCATCACTTCATGAAATTGGGTATACGCTGACTTTTTACATATTCCGGTGAGATGCTTCTATGCAACCACTGTATGCCATTTTTAATGTAATAATGGAAAGCCATATATCACTTCTATCATGTTTTACCACCTTTTCACAGTCTCCGTACTACCACATCTGATGCGCTGGCCAGGGGTACCTTTTCATACAAAGTTGAAATAAGCCATTTTGATCCAACTTTCCATGTCTGTATTGTACCACCTCTCAAACACTGTTAAATCTGGGAATGTGGCAGGAGAGCTGTTCTGGAGGTACACAGAGGGGTACTTGGGGGCTGGTATAGATTCTCCAAGGGAATCTGAGACAAGACGTCACCCTTATCTGGCTCTGGATCCTCATAGTCTTTACGTTTCTTGAACTTTTTCATGACGGTGAAGATGCAGCACATGATCACTGTGACTCCAAGCACTGTGCATACACCTGCTATAATCTTGGGGGTCGTGATGCGTGTGATGCCTTGCTTGACACTCAGTTCATGCTTGGTGGTGATGTTCCGGCAGTGGATGATAAACTCAGAATCATACACAATACAAACTTCGTATGTTGTTAGAGGTTTGAGTGTACCAAGTGTACATTTCATCAGTCCGGCACTCAGCGGGACTACCTCTATGTCCCCACCACTGCTCTCTCTATATTTCAGCTGAAAATTGGATAGTTGACTGTTTTTAATGGATCCTATTAGTTGTAATGTTATGTAGTCATTAGAAATACTGATTGGATAGAATTTGAGATCTCTCTGTAACACGCTCACAACAGTCGAACTTATGTCGTATGACACAGTATTCTGGGCCTCACATGCATATGTTCCTTCATCAGAGGTCCGAACACCATGAACAGATATGGCAGTGTCTTCTATCAACATGACACGATCGCTAGACATTGAGGAGTTGAGAACTGCGCCATCAGGCAACAGCCAATGTATCTTTGGTTGTGGAACACCAATAGCTTGGCACTCCAGGTAAAGATCATCACCAATGGTGATGTTGTATGAGTCTGTGAAGAGTGGAAGCGTAGTTGGGGGGCAGACGGGGGGTAACTGGGAGAGTGGGACCTGCTTGAGTGGCATGTTAGATTTGCTTGTTGGAGAATCACACAAAAGCTTGTCAGCTTCTTTGATGTACATACTTGTGTCAGAACTGGAATTCAAACTCTCCTCTAATTCTTTCTTTATCCAGTACACATTGCAGTCACAGTGCAGTGGATTGTGGTAGAGATGGAGGTTTTGCAATGATGGCAAACTTTCTTTGATATTCACAGACACTGCCATTAGTTTATTATTGTGAAGGAATAAAGAATTCAGTTGGGATACATTTTGAAATGCCTCTTGGTGGATGAAGATGAGATTGGGGTTGTCATGAATCATTAGGTTAAGCAGTCTAGGTAGGTTCATAAAAGCACCTTTTTCAATGACTCTCAGGTGGAGTTGGAAGCTCAAGGAAATCTCCGTTATGTTGGAGTTGGTGAAGTCATTAGTTTCAATCCTCTGTAGCTGGTTTGAGTCCAGCAGCAGGATCTGCAGCCTACCGATGCCTAGGACACACTTAGGCACCTGCCGCAGCATGTTCCGGGACAGATCCAGGACCTTGATGCCATGCACATTTGTAAAAGACGTGGGATGTATTCTGTTAATTTGATTCCCCGACAAGTCTAGGTGGACAAGATGGGGCATTGTGTCAAACACCTTTGGTTCCAGTTTACTGATCTTGTTGTTGGACATGTGTATCTCTGTGACCGATGACATAGCTTGTAACCACAGTCGTTTTAGTTCATACAGGTTGTTGTTGTTGATGATGAATTTCTGGAGATGATTCAATCCCCCAAATGCATGGATTTCTATTGTTTTCAGTGCATTATTGGATAGATCAAGAACGTCAAGATTTTTCAGACCACTAAAGCTACCATGTTGGAGTTTAACTATGGAATTGTTTCTAAGGTTTAGAACTTTCAGCAACTGGACATTTTCGTAAATCCTTTGATTATCCAGGAAGCGAATATGGTTGTAGGACAGATCAAGACATTTGAGATACGGCAGGTAGGGAATATAAGATAGGTTTCTCAGGTTGTTATGATGAAAGAGGAGGACTTCCGTGTCGGGGGGTATGTCGTCGGGGAACTGTCTGAGGTCCCGGTGACTGCAGTTTACCGTATGTAGTCGTCCATTGAAACTGGGGAAGTTTTTAACGGAGCATACGCAAGTGCTCGGACATGATGTCCTTGTGGGGTGGTTCTGTGTCATGTCGAGAGACGAGGCAGCCATCAACAGAGCCCCTGCAAGGAGAAACCCTTGTGGTCTCATGCTGGGGATGAGGTAGACATCTTACCCAACAGTTACATGTAGGACTAACTGCAGATGCAGTCTTTTTGCCATTTTCATAGCTTCAAAAAAATTCATATACCTTTCACATTTCCCTCGAATACACAACTCCAAGAAAATCGCAGCAAACTTTCCTGATAAAAATCACATAATCCATAGAGCAATGGTTTCACACAGTGCTCACAGAAATCCTTTGGTCATTTAGAAAATCTTATCCATCATGTGGATTCCAGCATCTGTTGAATGTGTCTTGAACAGTTGTCAGGTAATTAGTATCCACATCCCAAGACTGCCTTCAGACTGTACTGGTATAGCCTGTAAATAGTACAGAAAACATAATCAATACTTTAGTACTAGCATTATTTAAATCATCTGTTGAACTAGTTACCTGCATGTGTTGGATCAATAATACAACAATGGTTTGTGTATTTGAATTCACCACAGTTCACAGTTCACATGATCAGAATCGTGATAGTGGTGGAAACCAAACAGTATCATAGATGTAATTTCAATCACAACAGGCGGTACCGCCTCCATGGTGTAGTGGTTAGAGCGTCCGCCCGGAGAGCGGAAGGTCGCGGGTTCGATCGCCGACCGTGTCATACCAAAATACGTTAAAATATGGTACTTGTTGGTCCCTGCCTGGGGCTCGGCATTAATGGGTACAAGGACTGGTCGGCTTGGAGTCAGTATAATGTATCTGAATGGGGTATTCATGCTTCACTGCAGCATGGTATCTCAGTGGGCTTGCACTATAAAACCAGCTTCAGTCTGGGCTAGTACAAGCAGCCCCACATACACATACACACGCACACATGTCGTCATATGAGCAAAATATTCTCAAGCACGACGTTAAACCCAATTTCACCTAACCTCACAACAGGCGGTGCATAGTTAATATGCACATATGCGAAGTGTTGTAAAATCTGTATATCATGCTGAAGTTTTGGTCTGTCCATCGTGGCTGTAATTTGTTTTCACTGTTGAGGAAATATTCCCAAGGGATATGTTTGTTTTGTCATCAAATATTTTGTTTATTATGTATGTTGTATTAATCATGGTTAGATAGAAATACATCCTTGTCAGTAATCAGATGTTCTGGGATTTGTTTTATGTAAACACTGTAAATTGTAGTGTATAAGTGAGTGAGTGATTATGGTTTTATGCCGCTTTTAGCAATATTTCAGCAATATCACGGCGGGGGACACCAGAAATGTGCTTCACACATTGTACCCATGTGGGAATCGAACCCGGGTCTTCAGTATGACGAGCAAACGCTTAACCACTAGGCTACCCCACCGCCTTCTGTAATGTATAAAGTGATGATTGAGTTATACATGTCAAATTATCATATTTTCACAAATTTGTGTATTTTACAAACAAATGGATTAACAAGCGAGATTTAGTTCTCATGATCGTTATAAAAGTCTGTATAATTAGTTGTGGTGTTGCCACTATCATCTTTCAAAATTCACAAAATGTCTGTGCAAGGACTAGTAATTAAATCTCTAATGATGGAAGTCAACATTGTCATTAGAAGCATTTCACAGCTTTAATTCTGTTTAATGCTTCAGTTTTGCAACAAATTTGAAATGAGTAGAAGTAAACATGTCAAAATGTTCAGCTCTTCAAGCAAGAATAGCTACACTCATCAAAAGACTAGTCTTACAAAATACATATTTCTTAGGCTGCGTCTATCAGTTCCACCTGCGTGCTTTATATACATGGAGGCTTAAATAATTATACGAGGGAAATGAGTTCACACTTCTTGATCAAGCATTGATCTGTTTCTCACTCCTGATACCAACCTCATGTGTTCAACATAACATTCTTACCTAACAAGTTCAGGTGCGCCATAGAACATGCAGACATTTTTTTTTAAGCCCTGTATATTCCCAGGAGAATGTCGACATTTAGCTGCAAGCAGTGACTTTACTCTGTAGACATTCACACACTGTTTCATCAACTGTTACAGCTAAACTGCCTGGAAAGAAGCCCTACTTTCCATGCCGATATGTAATAATCTAAATAGTAATATTGATACACTTGTAGCACTGGATAATGACACTGCTAGTAGATATTTTCTCCTTTGTGTGTTTTCTATAACATATGTAAGTGTTGACGTGTTTGGTCCGTAGACCGTAAAGGAGGATGAGAAACTGGCAGCAGCCCAATATCCAGCAGCCCAAACCAGGATGCTCTGTAGTGAATCTGTCCATAAATCTGACAGAACAACAACATATCAGAAGGGTTTCCTGTACCATCATTGAGACAACTGAGCTGTGATATCAATGTTTATGTCTGTTGTTTAATGTTCGTAGTAAGATACTAGATAACACAAGATATCAGTATGTGGGAGGTCAGATGCGTTTACATCAGTGTTCACGAATGGTGTTTCAAAGTAACAGGACATTGGGTCCTGTAAGTTTCCGATGTCTGTCTGACTCATTGGAAATTCATAGGACCCAAAGAATAAAATTAAACACACATTTTAGATTTAACATTTCTTATAACTGGCATTGAAATTATTAACAAACATAAGATTTATAAACAGCAAACAAGTGTCACATGTCACATGTAACAACTTCAGTCAAAGTCATTTTGAAATATACAGTCAGACACTGGGGCTGGTGGGTTGTAGACTTCTATCAGACCTTTGGCGAATCTGACAGATATGTCAGAGGGTCAGACGCTATTCGTGAACACTGTTACATCTCAATAGAAGTTTATGGACACCCAATATTTTCATATGGCCATGGAGGACAGATGAACTATAGTCATACAGGACAATCAGGTTTTTCTGAACTTCTTTTAAGTAATGTACAACAAGATTGTGGCTGACAGTCATGTACAAATGGTTGATGATCATCATATGTATCGCATGATATAGTGGCTGAGCGGGTTAGGCAGCTGACTTTGTGTGCTGGCGATTAGGTGCCGGACACTGAGGGTTTAGAGTTCGAATCCTGGATGGGACTCAACCCCCAAAAGTACTAGAATGTGTACTTTACTGAGAAAGTGTAATCCCAGATATAACATATGTTACATGGTGTATTCAGTGTTTGAAATGAATTTACATAATCATGTGCAGAAGTCAATTATTACAGAATTGTAAAATGGATGATGATGTTCATGCACATCACATGATATGATGTATTCAGTGTTTGAAATGAATTTACATAATCAACTGCAGACATCAGTTACTACAGAATTGCTCTCTATCTGTAAATAATTAGAAACATAACACGTCCTCACTGAAATTTACTGGCCTCAGACTTCCTAATTTAATTCCAAACCTTGATATGTTATTTGTATGGATACTTACAAAAAAGAAAAAAGACGTTGACTGTCATTTGGGAATGGGCAACAAAGCAATATTTCACCAATGTTGATATGTCAGAAGTGTTAGTGAATAATATTTCGTATTTCTAACTGCAGTTTAATTTGATCTGAATACCTCTGAAAGAAACAAGTTAAGCTCTTGAAATGTACCTGTGTCATCTTAAATCACAATACTGATAAATTCTTTATGTTGATGCTTCAATACAAATGTTTAAGTATCAGAGATAAATTAATATGTCCCTACAAGAGAAACATTTCAATTTATTTTGCACCTATCAAACATTTTTTAGTCAATTGGTTTAAGCCAAATCGATGATACTTCTAGTATGGAGTGGGGTTATGCATTAAAATACACTGTTTTGTTTCACACAAGAGTAAATCATAAAAGAAAAAAGTTTACAATTAATGTTTTGCTTCACCCTTTTACACAATCAAACAGGTTGTTGCCAACATGCATAAGATAGAATATCCTGTCAAAATATGTAAATATACATGTAAATTATTGAATGTATGTACATATATATTTTAATATAATAGATATGAATATTTATGCATAGGATGAAAAATAATACATACATGGAATATATTGTTAAAAAAGTATAACCCAGATCTTATACTGATGGTTTTCAAAGCCAAGGTGATCTCATGCTAAACAACACTTGACAGACATCGGATACAAACCTCTGTGGCTGCAACTGAGGCGGAAAGCAGTCTAATGCCCCTCGTGTGACAAGGACATTTGTTAGTTAATCACAGTTCCTTTAAGTGGTCCAGCTGTTCAGAAAAGAAGGTTTCAGCAGTATCTGTCCCTTCAGGTTCAGTCCAGCTTAGACTCATCCTCCCATAAAAACAGCCCCATTTGGAGCCGTGTGTTATGCTTGTGAGCACAAGGAAGGTATTGATAATTCACTAACTGCCTTAAACAGACTATTAGTGCACTTGGAATCGTCCCAATCCTCCCAGAGGAATTATTACTGTTGAGGCACATCACTTTTCATCTGATTTGGTGGTCAACGAAAAACTGGCCCTTGTGTCGGCAGTTTTGTGAACAGGTGCACAGCAAGGTGTTGACATTGTTAAAAACTGTAAACAAACACATCATGCGTCCTTATCATTGTGCTGTAAACTTTGAGTCGAATCTCTGATAAATGCTTCAACAATAGCAGCGAGATAAAGATATGTTTACTCACGACTATTTGCAAAACACAAGAGGACTGCAGAGTTACCTTTTGAAAATATCCCTGGAAAGTTTGTAGTGTGTACTTGTGGAATTGTGCAGCGTTGTTCGTGCAGTGCAGTGGAGTAGTGTACGTGAGAGTATAGAGCACGGGACGTGCTAGCATTGATTGGCTCGTGAGCGAGATGCCAGCTGTTAGCATAGATAATGAGTAACTGGAACAGGTCAGGCACACTCTCAGTGTAATTGGACGATTCATGGTATACTCGACCAATCACAAAACACCAGTCTCCAGCTAAAAACTCTTTGGTAAACTCCAATTTTTGCTCTGTCAATGATCAAGAAGTTTCCAACTCTGCCAGAGTTTAGGAACGTGAATGAGATCAGAATCTGGCCTTTTTTCCTTTTTTGTGCGTAGGCCTTTAAGGGTTTCTTTGATCATTTTTTGTTAAAATTCAGTGAGTTGAGCTTGTGTTGAATTGATTATGTAGAAACGGGTTGTGAAATATATTAAAAGCTCTGTGTTGAAAAGTAAGGTCATTGTAACCGGGAGGATGTAGATTTTTGCAATACTCTGAGCAGTGTGCATCTGGTTTGCTATTATTAGATAAGGTAGCTGCTGGTGTCAATGTAAGGCTAGGTTAAACTATAGTCTGTATATGAATTGAATGAAATGGTTAGTGGTATTTATTACAAACTGCCAAATCAGCTTATATAAAACTTGTAACAATATACGCCCCACAACTGGGTTTATGGTGACCTGAGAGTAAGAGATTGAGATATGGTTGTTGCATCAGCAATACCTCCATAGTCAGGCAACTGATTGTATATCACTGAAGTAATTCAAAAAGCTTTAGAAACCAGATCAGTTTACAAGACATGTAATTTGAATCTAAGCAAACTTTGAAATAAATACTCACAAATTGAAGACGCTCAGAAAACTCGACTGAGACTTGTGTCTGTGGAAAAGTGTGAGCTATTGACTAGTCATCATCAGTACGATAAACTCGGGGGGCAGACACAGTGTTAAAATCAATGGAGAGAGGGAGGAATGTGTTTTGTCTCTACAGTGTAGTCAATGAAAGACCTGCACTCAATCCCACATGATTCAGCAAGAACACTCTTGTGGCCAGGTACACGTTCCAGAAGTGACGCCCGTCAACTGTTGAAATTGTGCTGTTCAATAATCGGGCTGAAATCAATCAAGAATTCTTGAGTGCGTTGTCAATGATGCATTCTTAAAATCTATTGTAAGTTTACCTGAAGATGGGAGGGGTCTTGTTGACTCCGGTTTGCCCTCAGACGAATCAATAACATGCTTTTTCTGTTATCTGTCTTACAATAAATTAAAAAAGTATATACCTGTTTTTTATAATAATGAAGGAATTGAAGTTATATTTATGTTGGTTTTGTAAGTATAAACCTAATGACTTTGGGCATATGTACAACTCAAATGAAGTTAAGAACACCTGATATTTAATCTGTCAAGCATGTTTTTCCCAGTTCTAAATGTACTAGTAATGAGAAGGTAAGGAACACGTAATTCTTCTATATTGCTACATTTAATCAGTGAAGTAAGTTTTACCCGTTCCAAATGTACTACTCAAAGAAAAAAAATGTACTACTTAAAGATCAAATGATTCATTCTTCTTTCTACAGGAAATCCATGAAGCAAGTTTTTCCCAGTTCTAAATGTACAAGTAAAGAAAGTTAAAAAACACCTGATTCATTCATATTGCTGCTGTTAGTCTATGAAGCAAGTATTCACAGTTCTAAATATACTACTAAAAATGTTAAAGAGCATCCAATTCTTTACAGGAATTAATATGTCTTTTCATTTCTTTTTTTCCCTATTCTAGATGTACAACTCAAATGTATAAGTCCATTACTCATTAATTATAGTAATATAAGAGAATTTAATGTCTTTTGGATAGCATATTTAGAATTGAAGAAAATTACATAAGGACACAGAATCATGTGTTAATGTAAATAATTTAGTTTTATGTTCTTTTTCAAAGAGAATGCTCAATTTTCTTTGATGTTTAGATAATTATGTAAGCATCCAATATATTAATCCACGTATCCTTTGGATGAAAAAAGGTAGAATAATTGCCAATGATAAACGTAATAATAATAAAACAATTACTGTCAGATGACAGGCAGGGCTGTTCTATGTGATGCCTTAACGACCTGGACGAGTGCAAGTTATCACATGGCCCAAGGCATTGCTTGCTAGAGCCTACTGTGGTAACATCCAGAAAGTCATTCAATTACATCATGACAGATCACCATTATCTCCTTTGTAAACATACCGAAAATATATTGACTTGGCTAAATATGAATATACACATCTTGTACTGACAGAACCTGGATCAAAAAGGCTGTTTCCTTTGTAAACATACTGAAAATATAATTTGACCCAGGAAAATATGAACATACGTTTCTTATACTGAGAGAACCATGGTCAGAATGGCAGTTTCCATTGTAAACATACTGAAAATATATTGACCCACATAAATATGATCATACATTTCTTACTGAGAGAACCATGGTCAGAATGGCAGTTTCCATTGTAAACATACTGAAAATATTTTGACCCACATAAATATGATCATACATTTCTTATACTGAGAGAACCATGGTCAGATCTCCTGTTGAAGTTAATAACCACACAATGGACTGAACTGCAGGTGGTTAAATATTGTACATCCACTTCAGGGATGATAATGCAATTACCCACACTCCACAGCCTGGCCCAGCAGGTGTGCAAGGTGGTTTATGGCACCGGTAATTAATCTGCAAAGTCAAGGTAAATGTAGGTTCGATAGACGCTTCATCGGTAGGTTGACCCTGCAAGCATTCTCTTCTACCTGAATTATTTTATGACTCTTTGCTTTGATTTAATCAGACCTGAAGAGGAAACTTTCAATCTGGCTAGTGGTTTTGCACCTCCGACAAAAGTGATATGCCTTGATTATTGGATTGGAAGTGTCAAAGGAAACTGGTTTGGAGAGAAAAATGGGTTTGATCTTTTGTAATGTTTATGGCCATTTCTGTGGCAATAGGTTTCATTAGCTGGCTTGTGTTTAGGTGGAATAACTTGCACGTGGACGAGGCTATATTGACAATGTTATCACACCTTCACGTGTATCATTGTCAATGTTTCTGGTTGAGTGGAGAAAACAATTTATGTTTCGGTGCTGTATTGATTATATCTTTACAGGTTATGACACAAATAAATTGCTCGTCATGTTGTGGCACGCTGTCATAACTTGTAGATTAATCATGACTTTTTATTATTGCTTGGTTTTCCGGATGATCTTTTCAGAACAATAGATCCAGTGGTGTAAGTTATTTGGTCTAACAGAATAAGATATTATTGACCCGTTTTTATTATATTTTCCAGTACTTAAATGTGTCAGTGGAGTCACATGGAAACAAAATAGATTGCCCTCAAATATCGTTTATGTAACATGTTAAGAATTATTTTTATTTTTTACACAGTGAAGCTTATTTCTTTGCAGTCAGTTTGTGTAGAAAGTTGTTCTTTCCTTGCTAACATATTTTTTGGATGCTGGAAATTGTTTGGAACATTTTCTAATGTTCCACTTTTAAAAACTTTGACACTTACTATCAGTTTTGTAGGATGTAGTACATTCTTGAATAATCACGTCATCTGTTACGTTGAAGATTTTTAATTTCAATTTTGGGGCAGACCAAGGCATCTCAATTATCATGTAATAAATGTTCCCAAAGTAAGTGTTTATTTATGGGATTACACTTTCTCAATAAAGTACAGATTCTAGTACTTTTTTTAGGTGAGTCCATTTGGGATTCGAACCCACACCCTCAGAGTTAGGCATCTAATTGCAGCTCACAAAGTCAGCCATTTAACCCATTCAGCCTCTGTGGCTTCCACTAATTAATGACATTAATGGTTTATAAATGTCAAACCTGTATTTTGTACACTATTCATCTGCCATTTCTAAGCAAAGCATGCATTTCAGGGGTGACGTATTTACTGGTTTTTAAGAGTTTTCAATCACAGGCTGTAACTGCTTTATCTCATAGATAAGATTCTCATAATTACAACATAACCCCTATCGAGAGATGAAATGTTTTCATGAATTATAAATACCCTCATCGCCAACTGTTGATATTTTACCTCCTACTTCACAAAGGAGAGTCATTATCAGCAGCACCATGCTGATATTAAATATTTAGAGGAACGTGGTGTCTAACTGCACGGGGCCTGTGATGTACGAGATAGGATCTGTGGGTACACTCCACAAGCTGGCTCTCCGGGGATAGACTGGGCTAGTTTCTATAGGCTTTTGACACACGCTCATCCGTCAGATGGCAGATGAATATATGAATTATTTTGGCTTTTAATGAATACTGGATTTTGGAAACGGAGAATACAATTTCCTATTCAGATACCGCATGTTTTGATATTTTAACTGGAAAATGAAATAGGTGATGCATAGTGTATCAAGTGCTTTGTGTAAACATGCATGGGATAAATAGTGTTTTAGGCCTTGGTAGTAAGATGAGGTAATGTCTTTGTACATATACACTGACTAGGATTGTTTGAACATTATCACCAGTGATGACTAGCACTAGAAGTCATCATTTGTACACTTTGAACACATTTTAGGATATGTATATTATGTGTACATTTAGGACTTAGTGCTATGAATGATGAATAATAATGATAGTAATCATCATCATCATCATCATCATCATCATCATCATCATCATCATATATGTGATAAGATATGACATTAACATATTTAGACATCATCTTCACATCTATTCACAGTTTGAGTAATTGCTGTTCTCTATAATAAGCATAGCTGGTATGTTTTCAAAAGAATTTAAAGATCACTAGTTCTTTGATGTTGCTCTAGTTAATTGGAAATGCTGTGATAAATTAACTCTGGTGATCTGAGAGTTTGATGATCGTTCCATGTTAGATTTATGATAGTAAAACTGGGTG